TGTACATTTATTGATTTAGTACCCAGAAGTGAGAAACATTATCACTTACAAGCCAAGCAGAGCACAGTGCAACCTAATAAACTCATGTTAAGAGTGGAATAAGAAGATTTACAAGTTGAAATGGTGTAATATTTCAAAATAGTTTGGATTCATCAATCATCTCGGCTCTAGTTCTGCTCTATATCAGGGCACAGAGAGTTTCAGAGACTAAAAGGGCGCACTTTGAAATGGAGGGGGATGTTCTGGCGTTAGACAGAGGAACACATTTACATCAAAAGACCAGCTTCAAAGTCAGTTACATAATGAACTGCCCACACAGCTACCCTCTAGGATCAGTTAAGTCTTGTCACCTTTAGAGTGTATGAGCTACAATGAGGAGCTTTGAGAATCACCTTTTTCAAGGCTACTGTTTAGATAAAAACCAATTGCTTAACTTGTGGACTGTTAAATATCACTGAATAATACCAAATTTATTTAATATTTAATTCTGGTTTTCCAGTTATTTCAAAAATGTGAAATCAACATGTCACATTAATCATCGTCTTTCAACTTAACACCTGGGATTATGTTGCAGGAGCTTCAAATGATTAGGTGAAAACCAGGAGCAGATTTTAACCAATGTGTGACTATGCATGTCTTCTAAGCATGACCCTCTTTGCTTAACTCCACTGCATAGAAATCCCTTGCCAGTCCCATGTCAACATTGCTGTATTGAAATGCATGCAGAGGTCTGAAAATGTAAGAGTTAAACACAGGACATAAAATACAGAAAGTAATTGCAATTAAGGCTGTTGTCTCCCATTTATATGGTTATTGGGCTGTACCACTTGCAGCCTGATGGCGTCAAAGTTCTCACACTCAAGGAGCCACTGTAGCCTCACTCGGCAACTATCTGCTAACAAGGTGCATCTCACTTGGGTGACAAAGCTGCAGCGGGCGGGTCTGGCCGAAAGGGAAGGGTCCATTTCCTTCAGCGAAACGCTACATTGCTGTAGGGCTGGAGTTTCTGTCCGCTCTTTGATCTGTTTCATGTATTGTACTTGTTTGCACCCATTCAGGTAGCGTGAAAAAGGTCAAAGGTCACTGTGTGGAATGAGCTGTTGTCACCCTCGCGGTCACTAAAGCAAACCTGAACCTGGCAGTGTCCCAGTTATTCATACACAGCAGTAGTTTCCAAGTTTTGTACTTTCTGTCTGCATTATTGGTTGCCAAAGGAATGATATATTGTGGTAGAAAGCTTTAAACATTTTGGATGTAGGAATTTGGCAGACAAGTGAATACACATGAATGAAAGTGGGGGGATATCACTTTTGGTGGTGCGTCCACTCTGTAGGGTGTGTAGCAATCTTCCTGTGTAATACTGGGGTTAGATATCAGTAAGACCTAGCCTCTGGTGGTGACATTGTTGCTGGGCTCAAAGACTATCAGGGGTCCAGCAGCTGTGCTGGGGCACTGGTGGGCTCCATTCGTAGTTAGGCTCTAATCCTTCTAGAGATCAGTTCTTTCTTTTCAATAAATCTCTTTATCTTTTTCAAAACTCTCACAGCTTAGACTCCTATTTTATTGTTTTTCATAAAGCCCAGCTTACCTCTATAGCCTCTCAAAAAGGGTTAAACCATTTGTAAAACCTTGTTTTTCTCAATCTTTTCAATTATAACAAATCAACAACCCATGTTTGCGAATTATAGCCTAAAAATATCTTTCTTTATGCTTGGCAGGTCATCCAACTCTCAGTGTTCAGGTTTAATAATTATAATTCCGATTATTTCTGTCAAAAGATTTTGCGATTATTTTGCTAAATAAATCTAGATGAAGACCAATTAAACTAGATTAAATAAAAAAAAATTAAATTAGACGTCCAAGATCTACATTACTGTATAAATGCATTCATAAAGACAGGAGATTGAATCAAATAAAATTTGAAAAAATGAAGCCAAAGCTTCTTGAATGGTAAGAACTTACTTAAATGTTACCTGTAACATTGGATGGAGGACACGCATCTCTATAGAAGATGCTCCCAAAGGTCAAAAGTTTTCTTTCTAAATCAATATTTTTTAAGAGTCAGCAGCAAGTAAAGAGGGGATATATAACGGTTCAATATAGAGATGCATGGCAGAAGCATAAGATAAAGAGGAGTCAGATCCAAAGCTAAGTATGCTGATACTAATTTATAGCTACCGTAATATATTATATAGATAATGTATAATATTATTGTTTAGTCTACTGGACTATGTTACATGGATAATAATCGCTTAAGGGTAGTTTATACAGTTCTCTTGTCTGTTGAACCATAATAAAATTCTTCCATTCTTTAAAAATATCGTTTTAATGAATAACAAGCCCTGGCTTTCTTGTCCTGATATATTACTCTCTCTTTTCCACATTTACACCTTCATGCTCTTTGATAAGAGAATTGTTGGTGGTTGGCAGCTTTATGTTGTCATTTAGTAACTTCATTGTATGAGTTTATCAAATAAACTTATAGTATTTCACATATAACTGCAGGGAAATATAATCTGGGGTTTTCAATAGGTAGCAGATATAAACTGTGGACGAAATAAAGTTTTGAAGGTGAACAGAATAAACATGACTCCATGGTGGCAATGGCTGGAGTTTGAAAAAAAAAAATACTAGAATAGAAGACAGCAAAAAAATTTAAGAAAAAAATTATTAGGGAAAAAACTTAGCAACAAGAACATTAACTGAAGTTATTGCCGTTATAGTGCCG